TTATATATTTAAAAATATTTATTTATATTAATTTTAAATAAAATTTATATATTTAAACATAATATTTATTTATATATATAATTTATTATAAATTTTAATTATATATAATAAATATGTCTCTACATTCACAAGCTAAAATATCAATTATATAAAAATAAAAAATTTACTATTTATGTAAAATTATAAATTATGGTTAAATAATAGTGTAAAGATCATCATTAAACTCTTATAATATATAACGTTTAAATGTTGGGAATTAAATACTTATAGTGTAAGGCATTAGTTTATATTTTTTTAAAAGAAAAAAAGACAAAAAGCAGGTTACCCGCCGTAGGAAGGTTGGCCATCCAACACTGACCTTGTATTGCAGCCTTACATGGAAAATCATATTAGTTTGTTAAAAATAAAAGGAAAATAGTTTTATTTATTTTTATTATTTTTCTAAACAAAATTACACTTTTTTTAAAAACAAATTTACCATATTAGCTACTAATAAAAATAGAATTTAGTCCCCCTTTATGGAGATAAAATTCCTGTATTTTGAGTTTAATTTTTATATATCATTCAAGAAAAGATTTATATTATTAAATAAATGGAAATAATTTTATATAATCTTAAAATGATTTTTATAAAATTTAATGATTTTTAAATATATGATAACTTATAATTAAATAATAATGCTATTAATGTATGCTATTTAAATTTAACGTATTCATGGGGTTTAGCAATTTATTTAAAATAAGGTTTTAAATATTTACCTACTTTATTGCCCTTGATTTGTTTTTATTTTTTTATTATTTTTATTTGATTTGTGATAACGAGGGTTTTAAGAAATTGATTAAAAGATAATAAATAAATAGATTGTTTAAAATTATGATAAAAGTACATTAAAATATTAAATATTTTATTGATATTTTTAACTTTGTAACTAATATACAACATTTCTATAATAATAATAATAACAATTATTATTATTTTAATGTTGCTGTTGCAGTATTTATTTTGAGCTTTACCAAATTTTTCCATTAAAAATTTTCAACTTTCAATTCAAGGTGCTTTGGAAAACTCAACCAGCCAACAGGTTTTTTTCAACTCTCGAAATTTCTATGTTGTTTTAAATTTCTGGAGCAAACGATTTTTAACTTTTTCTACTCTTTGGTTTTTCTTTTTTCTGTATTCCTTCTTTTTTATTTTTTCCTTTTAATTTTCACTTTCTGGGTTGAGTGTTCTGGAGGGAGCTGAAAAGAAATCTTAATAGAAGATTACAGCTTCAGAAGAGTGTTGCTGAAGTGTGTGGAATCTTTGTGACATGTCATGATCTTTGCATTCTGAACACTATTCAGAGTTTCACGTTGGTATGTAAAAAATAAGAGTTTTTCTCATTATTTTTTAAGAATTTTTTCCCTTTTATGTATTTTTCCCTGTTGAGTTTCAGCTGTCTGTCTTTTAAAAGTTTAGGTAAATGCTGGGTATGAAGCAGATTTATGCAAAAAGTGGAGTTTATTTATTTATTTTTTATTACTCTTTTTGAAAAGCCTTTGAAATTTTTGGATGTTTTTTTGGTTTGTTTAGAATCCAGGGCCAAGAAATATTTGAAGTTAATGATTGGTTTTTAACCATAAATTTTTTTATGATGCGTAGTTTGAGTTTGTTTGTTAGTTTTAAACATGTTTTCGAAGTTTTCTTACCCAAGTTTGCTTAAATATTGTAAAAACATTGCAAAATATTTACTATTTTTTCTTTTCCTTTTAATGGCTAATATATTTGTCGTCCTTTTTTGTTACAAATCTAATTTCTGGTTTCAGTACAAGAAAGTTGAAAACTTGTAACTGCGCCAGTACCCATTTTTCAGATATGAAACAGAAAAGGAAAAAATATTAGAAAATAACTGCATTTTTTTTCCTAGTGATTTTCCACCCAAACCCTAGAGCGCTGTGAATTTTGCAATTTAATACAAAGTTAAAGTTATAAGTGGATCTGCTAATTCAAGCTAAACAGCATGAAAATCCAAAGTATATGTCTTTGTTTTCTTTCTTCCTAGTTGGTGGGAATCCTTTGATGGGTTTTCACTTTGGTTTCTTAACATGTTCAAATTTTTGGTTTTGCTTAGATACTCAAATTTTTGAAATGGCATGTGGAATCTGTTTGGATACTATCTAGAAGTGTTTTTGAGAGTTTTTTTTTTTTGTTGGAAAAATCTCTTTATTTTTAGTAGAGAAACTCTAAAAAGCTTTTCAAAAACTTGTATCCAAATAGACTGTTTGATGAGCCATTTTGGTTTCTAAGTACAATGATTATTGATTTCTGGTTAAGATGCTCGAATTTTTGTAATGGCATGTGGAGCCCTTATGAATACAAGTTAGAAATTCTTTTGAGATTTTTCTTACTAGGTGAAACTCTTTATTTTCAGTAAAGAATCTCTAAAAGAACTCTTTAAAAGCTTTTATCGAAACAGACTGGAAATCTAATGCGCCATTTTGCTTTCTAAGTACATTGTTTGTTGATTTCTGGCTTGCAGATGTTGGCTTAATTGTGTGCACATAGGAGGGGATAGTTTGGTATATGCATGGAAGGAAGAGAAGGGATGAGTTCTGGGGTTACAGTGATAGGGGCAGAAGCTCCATCAGCCTATCAGATGGCACCAAGGAGTGAGGTTCCAAGCCAGGGTGGTCCTGTTCCCCCTGAAGCAGCAACTGGAACTATGGGTGTCTCCCCAGTGAGTGTGGGATTGGATGGAACAGCAGTTAAGAAGAAAAGGGGTAGACCAAGGAAATATGGGCCTGATGGGTCTGTCACTATGGCATTGTCTCCCATGCCAATCTCATCTTCAGCTCCATTTTCTAATGACTTCTCATCTGGGAAGCGGGGGAAGCCGCGGGGGATGGAGTACAAGCTGCAGAAGAAATTTGGAGTGGATCATTTTGGTAATGGAATTTGATGATTTTTATGCTAATTTGCATTGCTAGCAGATAGCTTAATTATGTGTCACTAACATGTTTTATTGTAAAATTACTTTTTGTTGTTAATGTTAAGTCTTAACATTTTGTTGAGTTTAGTTGTATCTTTCTGTTTTTGATTGTGAAATTACTTTTTATGCTTCTTAAAGTTTGTTTCTTGTCAAATTTTTAAACTTCTATGCTTGAATGCATTAAATAGCCCTCCTTTTTTTATTTGCAAATATTTAAAAGAAGTCATTCTTTTTGTGCTGTAGAATTTTTTTGAAGTAAGGTAAAACGATTTAGTTTTCTAACTTTGATGATGGTTCTATGCTTAGAAATCACAATTGTTGTTTGTTGCAATACTAAGGTTTTGGAGGTCTCCACAAACACATAAACTGCATTTGCATGCAATTTGTTTTTGCAATTTGAGGGTTTTGGAAGTTTCTGCTACTGCCACTGCAATGGCAAACTAAAACCTTCAATGCATTGTTTATTCTCTAAATATATTTTATATTAGTCGAATTTAATGTGTCTGATAAAGTACTCAACATAGGAAAATATCAACATGCTAATTGGATTTGGTTTGTGTTTAAATTTGCTTACACTGCTAGAAGATAATTCATAATTTATATTTATATCCAGTGACAAATATATGATTGGTTTTTGTAGATATTTTTATATTACTACATTTTGTTATTATATGACTACTATTAATAGAAATGATTAATTACTTTTCAACTAATTTCTGTTCATATCTATTATTGTTACTTCTGCAGGTGACTCTATTGGTACAAACTTTATGCCTCATATCATTACCGTCAATGCTGGTGAGGTATGCTTGAGGGAGGGGGAAAACATTTATTTTAACTTATTTTGGTACATGAGTTTGCTTTTAATTTATCTCTCAAAACTATCCTGTAGTATATATGGGTGTATAAATTTCTGTCATCTGTCATGTGTAATTGGTTAAGTCATAAAGTGTATATCAACTATGTGGAGAGGTTTACTTTGTTCAGTTTGTGTTTGGCAGGAAGTCTGTTTTTCTTCACAAAAAAAAATGCTAATTTCTTTGTTTGTTAAATGGATATACAGTATGTAACTAGGACTGAAATAGAAGACCTTTATAGATGCAAACTGACTGCTGTTCATTATAATTTGTTGTATCTTTTAACCCCTTTACATTTTCTTTTTCGTTTTTTGGGTTGGTGTATTGTGATATAAAAACATTGTTTTTTTAATAATGATCAAACATGCTGTTCTAGTTCCATCCATGTTTGGGTTTACCCCTTTTCTTTTGTCCTTGTTATTAACTTCTGTTTCATGTATGTACACCGACTGTTTTCTTCTAGATCTGTGTATAGTTTGATGAACAAACAATAATTGTACATGATTCTATCAATATAGGAGTTTCACCTATGAAGTCACTGCAAATTTAGCTATAGTTATTAAATTTCAAAACAAATTGATTGAGTAAAAGAGAGAAAGCTTCAAGTGTTTGCATGCTATTCTCCATTCTACAAGAAAAAATATTTATTTTGATGCTCTCCCTAGCATGTTTTATATATATTGTAATGCTAATTCTTCTAGCAGAAGAGACAATTTAATACAGTTATTTTTGCTCTACACTGTTGTTGTTTCAGGACATTACTATGAAGGTTATATCTTTTTCCCAACAAGGACCCCGTGCTATATGCATCCTATCTGCTAATGGTGTAATATCAAATGTTACACTTCGTCAGCCTGATTCTTCTGGGGGAACTTTGACATATGAGGTGCTGCAGTAAATCATCTCATTAGTACATATTTATTTTTTAATTTTCAAACCTTCCTTTTTGGCAATTACATTTTCGATATGTTGACGCTTCCGTCTTAATTTGTTTTTGGAAAACATGAATTAAGTAGGCATTATATGCACTATTTGGCACTCCTCTTTTTATGTTAAAATAGTTGCCCCAGGCGGGACTTTTGAATGCTTGACCAGACATACAAGGGAAACTAGATTTTGAGTCTAGCAGAAAATACACTAAATTTAGGCATGAAAAATGATAAACAGAGGCTTTTGGTGAAACCTTTGGTTGTTATGAAAATAATAATCAGATAGGAGGCTTAGGACGTCAAAATCAGGATAGAATTGCAAGGATAGAGGTTCATCGTTACACGGTTAGTTTGGCTGAGGATGTCAGAAACAAAATTGTGGTTCTAGAATTATGTTTTTGGTGGTATGTTATGGCAATTTGTAATAATGTATACATTCATCGTTCATTTGGGAAGTGTAGTTTTTCATTTGATTACTGGTACGAGGTTCATCATTTGTGCTATAAGATCTTATGTTTCACTTTTTTTTTTTCTAGGGCCGGTTCGAGATACTTTCATTGTCCGGATCATTCATGCCTACTGACAACCAAGGAACAAGAAGCAGGTCCGGTGGGATGAGTGTGTCATTGTCAAGCCCAGATGGTCGTGTCGTAGGTGGTGGAGTTGCTGGACTCCTTGTAGCTGCCGGTCCTGTGCAGGTAAACATTCCTCTCTCAATGATTCATGTGATCATGTGCATGGCTTGGGTGGTGGTAAGGACTATGAGGTTGGATCCAAAGTAGTCTTCAACATATCCCATATTTTCTGTGATGTTGAAAACTTTGCCAAATAACATTCCTCAAATACATCCTCAGGCAATTGAGGGTTGACAAATGAAAGAGGCCAACTTGCACGCCTTGATAAAAGGCACAGCACAAGGGAATTACCATAGTGTAGCATCTGGTGCAACATACTTTGAACTAGTTAGACATAACATTTTGTTCCTCAAATGAAGGATCATTTAGATACTTTATGTTATCAGGTGGTGGTGGGAAGCTTTTTGCCAAGCAACCATCAAGATCAGAAACCAAAGAAACCAAAGTCCGATTATCCACCAACTACTGTTACACCTGCCATTGCAGTGTCTTCTGCACCACCCCCTACTAATGGCGAAAAAGAGGATGTCATGGGTGGACACCTGCTGCACAACTCAGGAACAACCGTCAACTCAAACCTCACTCCCCCCTCGTCCTTTCGCCGAGATAACTGGGTTAACATGCACTCAATGACCGACTCGATGAAGTCGGCCACTGATATTAACATATCTCTACCTGATAGTTAAGTTGACGAACAACCTGCAGTGGCGGATCCTCTAGTGTTGCTGACAACATTCATGACTGAGCTATTTGTTTAATGTTTCCAGTGTTGTTATCTTTCACGTAGTTTCCACTTGTTTCAAACCTATTATCTGTTGTCTATGACCATAGGATGAAGTAGTTGACTAGTGTAAGTTGCAGCTAGGTTTCTATATTTTTCTTTGCCAACTAGAGTATCTGATTCCTTGGTTGATTAGGTAGATGCTGCAATGTGCAGTGTTGTTATGAGTAGGCTAATTCGGATGTAATGAAAATTTGTTTGCCTAATGCTGAATTTGGAGCTTTTATGTCTCATCCTAGCCCCTTGTTATTATGTCACTAGTATAGACTAGATATTTTCATCATATCTTATACTTGCTTTAATGAGTTTAAACTTTAAAACTTGCATTTGAAAATTCTAGATTTGGAAAGAATGCACAAATGTAGCTAGATTTTGAAAATTTTAGATTTGGAAAGAATGCACATGTGTAGATAATTAGTAAAAATGTTGGTATTTTCTTTATTTTATTTTAATCTAATGTAACGTTTGTTAATCAAAAGATTTTTTGTTGATTTTTGCAATTTGTGTGAAGTATTTTACGGTTTTCTTTATTTATGAAGATAGCAGGGAGCATGAAATTGTATATTCAATGAATAAGTTTTGTTTAGTGATCTTTTTCGATTCAAGCAAGATTGTATTTTTTGGAAGGTTACTCTTGGTTTCATAAAAAAATTATATAGGAAATTGGAAGACAACAATGAGTACAACTTCCAAGATTCAACCAACCTCTTTGGTTTAGATAATACCAATGTGATCCTGGCCCCAATAAAAAAATGTGGACTTTTAGCTCATTTGACCTGTTTGAGCACATTATTAAATTAGTTTCTTAATTTATCTAAAAAAGAAGTCTTTGAAAATGATAACTATCAGACATTTCGGTTCCTTAATGTTAAGAGCTCACAATTTGATCTCAAACTTCTGCAACTATCATTTATTTTGATCTTTGACTTTGGTGCAAGTCTATTAATTTGTCTTTTGACTTTATTTTACATTAGTCAATTTGATTTCTAGGATAAAAGACCGATTCTGTATTGTTAGGAATCCAATTGATCTTTATTAATGTTAAGTAAGATATTAATCACTAGTATCATTAATACTTGATCTTTATATTTTTATTTATTAAAGTACTGGTTCTTGAGAACTAAATACCAAATAAAATAAACATATAAGGATCGATATTCTAAAGATTACAATTTTTGGATTGAACTTCATGCATAAGATCAAAAGCTTTATTTGAATCCCATTTAAAAGGTAGTCGGAAGAAGCCTTGTGATTCTAGTGTGGAGGGGCTTCTCAACTTTACTTTATTTGAAACCAAATTAAATGTGCTTGTTTGAGTTAATTTATTTTATATTTTAAATAGTTTAAATCTAAATTATAGTAAGGAATTTAAATAAACTATTTTTTAAAGAAAAAAGACAAAGGAATATTCCACAAAATTAAAATAAACCTAATCCGAAATCATTCTCAACGTAGTGACTTTCCGTTATGTCGTAAAATAATTGTTCTAACGGAAGTTCTTCAGATTTCTTGTGAAAGCATTGTTAGAATTCCTTATTTTATTACTTGAAATATAAAAGAAATAAATTTGTTTGGTGTTTATATTTAAAAAAAAAATTGCGTTTGGATAAATGTTAACCATGAATTACTAAAGTAGAAAGCGACACCTTTATATAAAGGGTAACAAGAGAACGTGTCTTTCTAATACATATTTCGATACATGATACTTAAATATGTAAAAAGTAAAAATAAAAGCATTAACGTTCGAATAGAAGTGCTGCATCGTGCCTTAAAAGCATTGAAGAAAAGATAACTTTGGTTAAAAATTTAAAATACTTGTTATAGGTCTCCGAAATAAGTAATAATAGGACTATAGGATAGAGGTTGCTTTTATCTCACATTTAAGTTAACCTAGTTATTGAAGTTAACTTATCAAGAAAAAAAAGGAAAGAGAGAAAGAGTAAGGTGTACTCTTTCATTAGAATAAATGTTACATACGTCAAACACTTTGATTGTTACCTACTCCCTATGAAGAAATTTGTGCCCTAATAATGACCAAATTGCATTATTGTCGTGATTTAATTTCCACTTTTCATGTTTCAACTATAATCAATGTGTTCTGTGAAAAAAAATTAACTACAATCAATCTATGATTTTAATTCTTTAATAATTACTTGAATCAATTTTTCTTTGTTTTTTAGTTATTATAATTAAATTCTACTAATTTATTACTAAAGTAAAAATTTTCAATCGTGTTTTCCTTTCTAAAACTCTTGAACTCTATTTTCATAGTCTATACCATTATAAATTGAACTAATTAAATTATTTTAAATTATCTTTCACTCAATGCATCAAAATAACATATTTCACCTTAAATCAAAAAGCCCAAATTTTTCATTTTCAAAATCATAACCTCAAAATTTATAAAACAATTCAAAATTTAAAATAATTGTTTTGACAGGCAAAAGAAATTTTTTAAACTTTTTAAAATCATTTTTCATCTAAAGTTCATCTTGAACTTCAAATTATTATTTTTTTTTAAAAAGAAATTTATAAAACAAGATGTAACAACTCGACAGATCCTACACTTACTATAGTTCAATCTCACTGTAATGGGAAGAAAAAAAAAAAGAATAAGCATTCAATTGTCTTATGATTAACATACACATTGATACATGTATAAGATAGAGAATAAAAAAAATTGTACACATATACAATCTACGTAAACAATATACAAGAGTATATAAATATTCATACTCGTTGGTCAAACGACTATACAAGACCTAACTACAATTAGAGTAGCTTAACAAAATGAGTCACCACTAACATGACTCATCATCAAGACATCTAAGCAAATCTTGCTAACCCTAACTTGCTTGCATATCAAGTATAATTATTCTAGTTCCAATCACAAGAAAAACATAGGGTAAACTTGTAAAAAAAAATTAACATAAAGATTGAAACTAAACAACTTGCAAAATCAAAACGTACATTCATTTAAGAAAGCAATGCATTCAGCAACACATACAACTTATAGCTCATATCATCATAACAATCTTATCACAACAACTTTATCATAACAACTTATAGCACAACACCACCTCATCATAAAACAATTTTAAACAGCTAATGCGTCATCACGCATATCAACTATGAAAATCTCATAACAAAAGTGAACAATTTAAGTGACTAGATCTTGTTGAACCACAACGTGTGACCTATTTGATGTAAGAAAATCACAAGTATACGGTTGTTATCAAATAATAAATTATCGTATCCGCATAGACTACATGTTTGACCTAATAATTATTAATATTTAGTTAAATTTAAACTAATAGATAAGAATATTTTAAAAATCAAATAGAGAATGATTAAGAATAATTGTGAATGAAATAGAAATTTTAATTGATAAAGAAATTTATAGGAATTAGGAGTTGCTCAATGAGTTCCTTTATGCTCAAATGATTTTATCAAGATATTTAATTGTTCCTTTTGAAAATAAATTAACCTAATGTATCCTTAGCACTCTCTCAAGATATGAAGGTGTGTTTAATAGAATTAACTCTTACTCTTGTGGTAGTTACATTCAATTAAATCCATTATGACCTGTGTTAATTTAGTTGATTCTCGAAGGATTAAACCTATTCTCGTGGTTTAAAACCTAGGTCTATTTTTTTAGGTTCTAATAATTAAGTTCACTTCTCAGTACTTCCCTGAACATCAAAGATTATGAAAAGTGATGGCTAATTGATTAACATATATAATTTGTAAAGAAATAAAATCAAAGATAGAGCAAGAATTAAATAACTGAATAATTCATATTAACATAAATGTTATCAAGGCTAAGCCCCTATCCTAGAAAAAGAGAGAATACTCACACATATTCATAGTAGTTCTCCCAAAAAGAAAAGAAAAATAACATAAAAAGAAACGAACCTAAGAATTAGAGGTATACCAACATGGATTACTCCTCTTCAATATATCTATCAAGCATGAAATCAAAAAGTACCTTTTCTAGCTCCAATAATCTAATTTATAACCTAGAAAAGCCTAAAAGATTGACTCAAAACAAAGTCTTAATGATAAGATAAAACAAGATAATCTAAAAGATAATGCTTGACAACAAGATCGTGCCATGGGTGTGACTAGTGGGCTAGATTTTGATTTTTGAACATATAGGCCGAGTCTGTTTTATAAAATTAAAGTTCAAGTCTGACTTATTATCTATCATAGACTTTTTTTATAAGCCTAACCTAGATTTTTTAAAGTTTGACTTGATTTATTAATCTATTTAAAAGTCTATTTTACATTAATAATGTTAAATAGATTAATAAAATTAATTTTTTAAGAACCAACAAATTTATTTTTAAATGTCATTGCAAACTATTTTTTAATTTATGTGATAAAATATAGTTTACTCAATATAATTAAAACTTAAATTTTGAAATATATACAATGTTACAAAGAGAGAAAAAGTGAATCATTTTCTATTAAAAGGGAAATGCATGTGTAATCATGTATATTGACGTACATTCATGCTGTAACCCTAATCTATAATGAAAAAGAATAATTGTATAAAAAATATTTAAATATTTCCTATATCTAATTTGGTATATTCTAAATAACCTAATCATATTTTAACAAACTAAAATAATTATGATAAGAATTTACAAACTAAAAGAATATTTATTGTACATGAGGTGATCTCAAAGGTATCAATTATATATACAATGTCACAAAGAAATGATAAATCATATTATTTTTTGTTAAAGGGATAGCTCAATTACATCTATGTACACTGACGTACACTCATACATATGTTATAATGAAAGAATGTAATCTTTTAAAAAAAATTCTTAAATATTTTAATTATCTCATTTGACATATTTTCAATAATCAACTCTTATTTTAAAAAATTAAAATAGTTATAATAATACACATTCAGATTATTGGTTTAACTATAACAAAATTTAGTAATTTAAAAAGATACAACTATTCAATAGAATCAATACAATCAATTTAATACTAATACCAAAAATAATGATTTAAAAATATTCAATAGAATCAATACTAATAGTTTAATACTACCAAAAAACAATAATTTAAAAGCTAACACAATTATAATATGACAACCAAAAAAGTGTATCAACACCTATGAGACTAATTCATTGACTATCCTCCGAATACTATGCTCTTTCAATACTCAGTTAGAGACTATGTCCCCAACTTTATACTTTACTCAGTTGGTCATTTTATACAAGTATGTCTTGAGTTTTCCCATATAAGGATACCACATAAAACTTAGAAGAGATAACTTAAAATAATTATTCATTTAGAAGCTAACTTACTTACTGAAAGGTTTTAATTGGGCTCTTGGAGCATCACAAAGTATATCCACATAATAAGATACTTTAATTTCGAAATAACGCTTACTCTCCTCTAATTTTTATGTATCTTTAGCAAAGACATGTATCTCTACAACATGCCTAATAGCTTAACAACTTAACAACTTGAACAACTTATCATAATACAACTTCACAACTCATTCAACTACAACATCTCACAACTTATTCATTAATCAACTTACAACTTAAAACATAAATATTGTCATATATTAAATCAACTTACAACATATGAATTTATCATCATACATCATTCATCACAACTTATCACTATCATTTAACTATAAAAGAACTTAAGACAACAAGTTTTTGATTATGCAACTCATGCTCGATGCCACTTAGAGGACATTTGACGCCATTGAGGTGGAGGACTCCTTGTCTTGTCCACTCCCGATGTCAAACTACCTGCTTCCAACATGGTTGAGACAAAAAGTCTCCCACTCTTTCGTGTCTAGCATGGCAATAGCCCACACTTGGTCCCAATGTGCAAGGGTCTTGAACAACTCACACCTAACACCACTTCATTGGTGCCTAACATGATTTCAACCCGAAATGATTCTCTCCCCTCACGTCTGATGCCATTCAAAATATGTCTAACATGATTTCAACTAGAGATGATTCTCTCTCCTCACGCCTGACTCCACCAACCTTACACATGACATGAACAAGATAAAATCCCTTGCTTGAAACCATGCTCAACACAATATCAGTTTTGCACCTATGTAGAACTTGATTTCGACTCAATTTACCTAAAACTTAGCCAATTTCAAACATGCAATACAAAAAAAAAACATATAGGCATCACAAACAGCTCAAAAACAACTTCATTCACAACATGCAACCACTCTAAAGCAATAATCACCATATTCAACACACAACCACTTTAAGAGAAACACCAACTCCATAAATCATCATCCCAATAAATTCAACAATAACATCACAAATCTAGTAATTATAGGCAACATTAATCAACATGCATCCAACACAGTCAACACAAGTTTTCCTTACCTCTTGTTGATCCAAACCAAGAATAGGAAGGAGAGAAGGGAGAAATGAACTCCGTACGACCTAGACTTGAGAATTCTAGCTCCAAATGTTTATAATCTCGAACACAACAAATTCAGTCAGCTACAAGGAGGAGAGGAGAAAAGTTTAGTATAGAAAGGCAGAGAAGATTCACTTAAGTTCGAGAAAACTTCTCTCTAACTTCTCTATAGGATTTTCTAAAATATGAACTTATAAGGTTCATATCTTAAGAAAATCTTATATATTTTTCCTTAGGCTGAATCAACTTATAACACTGCTCAACTACCTCAGAGACCAACTTAACTCATAGAGTCTCTTAACTTTAGAACTTCAAGACAATCCTACTAACAAAAATCATAAATTAATCATATGTCACATGTAGTTAAAAATTAAAACATCTAAAACTCATAGTATTACAAAGGAACCGATTGTAGTTATTAAAAAGTAAACTAAATTTGAGTAAAAAAAGTTAATTATATAAAAATCACTCATTATAGAAAAAAGAATACAATTAACCTATTGTTGGAGAACTCATAGTGGCTGTATAAACACTTTTCTGCACAAACTTCACAAAAATGCAAATTATTAGAGGAAAAAGTTCTTTGACCCAGCATTATAAACGTATCCAAGCAATTTTGGACCACTGAAGTTGTACCATGAGGTTTCTTAAAATTTCTGTCTATTGATCTTTTCTCTTTCGTTTTGTACTGGTAATATTAAGTTCATATTTTGTGACTTGATTTCACTAATATTACTTATATAACTTATATATATATA